TATAGAAATTCATTATTTTGTTTTATAATTTTTAAGCATCATTTTATCTTGGGTACATCATGAAGTTTTTGCACACACATTACCTAATAATCGCAGTAACTGACATATTTTAGAGCAACAATTTGGCTTTTAAAATATTTTAATACTAAGTAAAGTTGTGTCTTTCATATAGAAATTCATTATTTTGTTTTATAATTTTTAAGCATCATTTTATCTTGGGTACATCATGAAGTTTTTGCACACACATTACCTAATAATCGCAGTAACTGACATATTTTAGAGCAACAATTTGGCTTTTAAAATATTTTAATACTAATACTACAGTCTTTACCAAGATGGAACAATATTTCAATTTCTCATGTCCATATTTGTAACCCTGATCAACACTATAGACACATAAGAGAAAATAACATCAGGGGCAGAAAAATTACACCAAATAGGTTAATTCCTTTTGTTTGATTTCTTCTAATGAAGTTTTCATCCAGGCTACCAATATAAAATTGATTTTGGTCAATTAGAATCAATCAAACACAGGTTTAATGAAACTGAGAGAAAGGCTTACAGAAAGGAAGCAGATATTTCTATGCAGGCACCAACACTTCCCGTGAGTTCATGTCCCAGAACACCTTTCAATGAGGATTTTCCTTTCTCCCAATTTCTAGCCAGGAGAATGTAAGTAGAAAGAGAGGTACCTGTTTCCAGTCCTGACTCATGCAGGTCTCATGAAAATGGGTTTAGAATTTCAACACACAAGTATGGTTTGATCCAAAAATTGCATCACTATTTTGCTGGACACCTTTAGTTGTCAACTTGACACACCTGGTTAGAGGGAGGCTCAATTAGAGAGTTGTCTCATTGGATTGCCGTGTAGCCATGTCTGTTTGGCATTTTGTTGATTGCTGAGTCTTATGGGGTTGGGGATCCCACTGTGGGTGGTTCTGTCCCTGGGAAGGTGGTCTTATGTTGTGTAAGAAAGCATGCTGAACCTTGGCCAGAGGAGTAAGGCAGTAAACTCAGTTCCTCCATGGTCTGTGATCCAGGTTCCTGCCCTGGCTTCCCTTGATGGGCTGTGTTTGATTGCCAAAACACCCTTTCCTCCCCAAGATGTTTTTGGTCAGTGTTTTTATCATAGCAGTAGGGAAGCTTACTAGAACTAGTACATTTGGCCCAGGAGAGTGAAAATTTCCATGCATGACTCTTCAGTGCTGCTTTATTCTGACAATCTCAAATGGAAATAATGTAGATGTTGTTCAGGAAGCAAGTCTTGATGCCCCCAGAGCAATAACTTCTTCTTTACTGTAAGCATGAAACACTGTACCCAAACCTTTCCTCCTTTTAAAAAATGTCATACTCATTATATGAATGAAGCTCATCTATTCCTAAGTATTTATTCAAAAGAAAGAAAAATCTGCTGTGCAGTGTCCCCAGAAACAGGGCCTTATCCTCTCATTCTGGAGGGCATCCAAAGGGAATGGCAATAGCCAGCATCCAGCAGCTCAAGAAAAGGAGCCCCCTTGTGGCACTGGAAGCTCTCTCCTCCGTGGGTTCCATCCATATTGCTGAAAGATGCTGTTCCCAGTGGTGAACTCGATGAACAACATAGCCTGTCACATAAGATGTGTGCTGTGGCATAACAGTGACACAAGTGTAACCAACGGTTCCTGGTTTGGATTTGAGACTGGTGGAGCCAGTTGGCACTGTCAACCTGGCCAATGACTCATGGTTGGGCAGGTCATAGTACCTAGAGCAGCTTACATCTGTGATTTACCTTATAGAAATGGTACCAAACTGCAGTGTACATATGATGTTTACAGCCATAGACAAATGGCTCTCTTCTTTAATCACAGGATCTTCACTTTGTAGTGATTAACAATGAATGCATAGAGGCAGGGCAGTTCAGGAGGCTCAGGATGCATGAAAGTTCAGTACTCAGCTCAAAACAGGGCATGAATTCCTCTAAGGATCAGGGAATAGTGTGGAAGAGAGAGTGAAGGAGGTGATGGGGAGAAGAGATGCAAAATGCTGCCTTCAGGCATGACACAGACATTGCACACCTGATCTTACAGAAACAGTGGTTCCCTGAACTGGGCCTATACAAACCTGGGCCTGCCCACAGCAAATTACAGACTGGGGAGTGGCCCCTTGGTCCTTATTCCTCTCTGCTGATATGCTGACAGCTGATGGATTCTGGAGGGGAGACAGCCATTGCTGTCAGTTATATACGAACTTCTGAGCCCACCAGGCTGCAGTTGATATTTACAAACTTGGGACCACATAGGCATTCCTGTTTAAAATCAGAGGGACACTGAAAGAAACAAAACAAAAAGTTATGACTGTGGGAAACGGACCTGTAGGGAGGAAGGAGAGCATCAAGGGTAGGAGGGATACAGTAGAGTGTGCGAATTAGGGTTAACAGAATGTTCTAGATACGTGTATGAAATTGTCAAAGCACAACTCAATAAAAACAAGGTCTCAACAAGTTATCTAAATATTTATCAAAGATTTATTTACAGTAACTCCCACTGGAATCATCATTGTCAGTCAGCAAGTGAATGAATGAAGTATCTCACAAACAAAGAAATAAGTAAAATAAATCATACAACTTTGTAAAATGAATGCTCCAAATCTATGTGGTGAAATACAACTCAAAAATCTTAAAGGAACACACCCAGATGTATCAACCTTGGAACATTGTAAAATGTAGCACAAATGTTGCTCAACAGTTTCAAATTCATAGAGAAGATAAAGCACATTTATAAGTAGAAAAAAATCCTCAATTGTGTTGTTCATGGATAGATATTGGTTAAATAATTGACTCAAAAAAATCAGGGACAAAAATTTAGGAGTAAAATATACTCCCATTTCATTGTGATTGCTCATTTCTTTTTTAAAAGCTTTATTTTATGTGTGTGCACATATGTAAGTATACTACGAAGGGACCTGATGTTGATGAAAGCCAGAAGAGGGTGTCAGATTCTCTGGAGCTGGAGATATAAGTAGTTGTGATCTGCCTGATGGTGGTACAAGTGCTTTTAACTACTGGGCCATCTCTATGGCCTCTAATTGTTCATTTCTATCATTAGTATATGTTGTTTGATGTGCTTCAAAACTGATGACATTAGGGCAGTGGTATTTTCAAGAT